TAATGGGAGTGGGTTACCTTGCCTGTCAAATTTGGATTTGCATTCGTTGGCCCAATGTTTGCCTCTGCCGCAGTGAGGGCAGGGGCTAGGGGCGGTATTAGAAAGGGAATTGGCTCTAGGTTGGGGGGCTTTACGGCATTCCCTCTTGACATGTCCTACTTTCCCACAATTATAACATTTTATATCCTGTTGTTTTTGTAGGGCCATGAGCTGAAGGGAGGCTATCCGAGCTTGATGTGTAAGAATGCCAGTATTTCTACATAGACGAAGATAATCGAGAATACCTCCTGTTTCTCTATGTGGCCGGATGGCCGCTTGGCAGTCCTCATTAGCATTTTCAAAAGCAAGCTGTCTTAGCAAGTGCTCTTTAGCAGGTTTATTATTGACTTGGCGGTCAATAGCCATTTCAAGCTGAGAAATAAAATCAGTATATGCTTCTGTAGGGCCTTGCACAATTTTTATACAACTTTGCCCCACTGCCCCTGAAGGGGTTAGCTTTCCCCAAGCTGCGAGGGCGATTTCAGAGACCTGCGCTGTGGCTGCAGGTGGAGTGTTGACCAACTGCTCTCGAACATCTGAAAAGGGGCCAGAGCCAGTGAGCATTTCAAAAGAAATATGATGCATGGCTGGGTTAGCCCGATTCGCCCAGGCTTTCATATAAGCAGCATCCAATAGCCACATTTTCCATTGCAATAAATCCTGTGGCTTAAGGCAAGCCCGTGCAACCATATGCCAGTCATGAGGTATCCACTCCCCAGAATTTGCCCAAGCTTTCAAAATCTCTATAGTATAAGGGGCTGTGGGTCCATACAAGCGGCGAGCCTTCTTTAGTTCCCTCAAAGCATTTAAATCTAATCCCTCATAGACGGGACCAGCAGCTTGTGTTCGGTCTATGGGGAAAGCCATAAATAGATCATTAGCCCCTTGCCGTCCGAGTTCCTTTTTGAGAGGTGAGAGAGCTAGGGAGGATCGTTTGAGAGGGAATAAATCTACCGTGGAGGGAGGTTGATCATCTTCGGCGGAGTCCTCCGTTAAAAGCGGAGGGGCCGTGGGTAACGACCGGGACCGTGAAGCCGCAAAAATTTTTTTACTGTCAGTCTTAGCCTTTTCTAAAGTCTCATCGTCTAATTCATATGTATGTAAAGAGTTGGTAGTTTCTTTAGCAACCTCAGCTGGGGATAACTTATCCCCAGTTTCCATAGTATTGATCACCACTCGTACTAAAGCCCAAATGGGCCAGAAATCAAGGGGAATCGTTTCACCCTGTCTCATAGCCCTCAAGACATTATTTTTCACTCGGATCCAAGTCTCCTCATCTAAGGAGCCTTCATCCGGAAAGCAAGGATTATATTCAACTACCGTTTCCAAACATTTTTCTATGCGCTGCTTAGTAACTTTAGCTCCATATTCTTTAAGAAAATGATGTATCAACGCAGCAAAACCTGATGCTTTCGAATTTGATTGCCCCATAAACCTGTAATAAACTTTCCTACTTACCACCTTCTGTAGGGTTCCTAGCGCTGGCCGATCACTCCTCGACAGGGGCTTCAGGTCCCTGTTCGGGCGCCACTTGTCGACCTCTGAGAGTCGGGGACCTGGGGCGGCGAAGGAACTGAGAAAAAGAGACAGTACAGCGAGGCACAGGGGACCCCGAGCTAACAGCCCAAGGTGCCGAGGTTTATTTTCCATCCTCTTATATACCTTCTACAGCGATATAGACCTATAATGATTTACAGCAGGGGCGCAGTAGGGCACATTCCTCCACGTACCCAGGATCAGTCAAGCATGTAAGAATCGTTAAAACAGAATAAAGGAACAAATAGGGGAGTGCCCAGTGTGCTGTTTACAGCTGGCTTCCTACCTACTAAACATCTTCTGCTGTGTTCTTTGGAACTGACCACACACATTCCAAGGGCATTTCACTCTGATCCTTTCTGGTTATTTTTAATCCTGCAATCTCGAGTTTTCCCAGAGATCTCGGAGTCTGAGCGAACATGCACCAGTGGCCGTTGTGGCGTTCTGTTTCCTACAATGGTCCTTCTTTTCCCACTGCGTGGTGGTGTGTCTGTATGGGATTGTTGCAGAAGCAGCACCATTTTGCCATCGAGGAGCTAAGTTATGAAGGATGGAAAAAACAATACCCTGGCTCCTTGGCGATGCTGTAGGGCAACTGAACTAAACAACCCTAGAGCCAACTTAACTTATGGACTTGTTATTTTCTGAGATAATGATTTTTCCCTACTGTCTGGGTCATTTTGAATAGGTTTTTTTGGTTACTTGCAACAGAAAGCATTCTGATACACTTCTTATTTCCATTAGCCCCATTTATTTAGGTTTTTGTGCCCCAAAATGTCTCAACATAGCCAGTGGGAGCCCTTCTAATTGGACATTGTGCCCTGTCAGTATAGCCTGTGACTTTCTTGAGAGTGCCCTTACTTTTTTATTTTTAGAAACAATAGCCTGTTCCAGGCGTATCCTGAATTTTACCTGCTCCAAGTACCCCCTAAGGAGGCTAGGTTTTAGTGGAGGATAATATTGTGGACCACAATCTGGGCTCCAAGGAGTTGGTGTAGGTAGAAAAAAACCATTGTTGCTATTGGGACCCTTTTAGTCATGACAGAGCTGGAAAAGGGCTAATTTCCTTAACATGTAAATAGTTCCTACAAATCAATAAGAAAAAGACCAAACTCCAATAGAAAAATGGAGCAGCTAGTTCACAGAAAAGGACATATAATTGGCTTCTACAATATGAAAAGATGCTCAGCCTTACTGAGAGCGAGAGAAACAGAAATTAAAGTTACACGAGTGTACCATTTCTCACCTGTCAGATTGGCTAGGGTAAAAGTGTTCATCAACACACTGTTGGCGAGAGGGAGGGAAAGTGAGCATTCTCACACATTAGTGGACTCGCCGATGCAAGTATAAATTCGTACAACTTCTATGTGGGGAGGCAATTTTACATATGCCAAATGTACACATGCTTTTGACCCAGACATTCCATTTCTAGGATTTTGTACTACATGTATACCTACATTTGAGAAATGATGTATATGCCCGGTAATCTCTTTTAGCAAACACTTTTTAAAAAAGATTTTTATTTATTTATTTGAGAGAGAGAGAGCGCGCACATGAGTGGGAGGAGGCAGAGAGGGAGAGGCAGACTCCCGGCTGAGCAGGGAGCTGGACGTGGGACTCGAACCCAGGACCCCTGGATCATGACCTGAGTCGAAGGCAGATGCCCAACCAGCTGAGCAACCCAGGCACCTTGCAAAAACACTTTTTTTTTTATACTTACACAAGATTGCAAGCAACCTAGATGTCCAACTTTTACAAAACCGGGCTATTTTTTCTGCATCAAAATAGCAGCACCTTTAAGAACAAGGAAGCTCTTCAAGTCCTGATTCGGAATGATCTCCTGATGTATGCTGCGATGTGGAAAATTCAAGCCACAGAACAGCGTGTAATATCTGCTACCAGATGCATGGAAAGGACAAAAATGGCAGGCATGTATTTGCTTGTGAATGTGCCTCGTGAAGATGTAGGAGTGACTGAGGGAGGTGGGAATGCGGTCAAGAGAGAGAAGAGAGGATGGGGGTAGGGGGCGTGCGGGGTAGGGGGCGTGGGGGGTGGGGGGCATGGGGGTAGGGGGCGTGGAGGGTAGGGGGCGTGCGGGGTAGGGGGCGTGGGGGGTTACCTCTTTCTACCTTTTGAACTTTGCATCATGTAAATGCACTTCCCACTAGACAAGCAAACAAACAAGAAAATATGCATTACAGACCTATTTCTCTTGACTTGGTTTTTTTTTTTTAAGATTTTATTTATTTGACAGAGAGAGACACAGCGAGAGAGGGAACACTAGCAGGGGGAGTGGGAGAGGGAGAAGCAGGCTTCCCGCGGAGCAGGGAGCCCGATGCGGGGCTCGATCCCAGGACCCTGGGACCATGACCTGAGCCGAAGGCAGACGCTTAACGACTGAGCCACCCAGGGGCCCCTTAGCAAGCACTTCTTGACACCCACAAGCCTGATACTGTGCTCAATCCAGGGGAAATAAAAATGAGTCAGTCCTGCCGGGAGTGTGGTCCCTGGCTAGGGGGAGCTCAGCAGAGTGGGAACGTCGACATACACACAGATTAGGGGCGTAGTAAGTGAGCGGTCACAAGCATGCACAGGACAAAAGCAAATAGAGAGGAAAGCTGATGAGCTCTGGAGGGGAAGGCGGGAAGGGGTGAAATCACCAGGGAGGACTTCTCTGAAAAACTGAGGTTGAACCAGGGATTAGAAGGCTGAACAGAATTTTTCGGGGACGGGGACTGCCAAGCAAACAACATAGTGGGTTCTGGGAAACACAGGGCTCCACCCCCAGTGGAGAGAGGCGGGCGGGGGGGGGGGTTGAGGATGGCGAACCGTGGGATGAGGTGGGAGGAGGGCAGGCCGCGTGAGCAAGAGCTTTGAATGCCAAGAAGCTTGGGTTTTTTTTCCTGTAGGCAACAGAGAGCTAGAGGCTTTTAAGCTAGAAAGGAAGGAGCCCAGAGTTTGGCACACGGAGGGCTTGCAAGTGTTCCAAGTTGATCGAGTTAATTCAGTGGCCATGATGTACTTTATTCACAAACTCCTGCAGAGCGACTCTCCTTGCCCTCTTCATCCTCCCTTGCAACCTTAAGCAAGACCCTCACAGAGGTGAGCCACCTCGTGAGGTCAGTGTGTGCGCGCCCAGCCTGTCTGCTGGGCCGGCCGTCCATTCCTTCTTCCTGCAGGTTTTCTGCCTCAAGCCTCGCCTGCTTCCCCCTTCCCTCCTTCTCCTCCCACCGGGCCAATGGTGCGCACCCCCACCCGCTCCCGGCCCGCGCCAGGCCCGCCTTCTTGGGCTGAGCTCTTAGCTGCGCGTGGGGTCGGCTGGAGATCCGGGAGCCACCACAACCCTCGGATCCGCTGGGGCCTCGCAGGGGGCGGCGTCCCGGGCTCTGTTATTTAGCGCGCCCCCCTTCTTCCTCCTCAGACGGCGCGTTCGTCTTCGGGCAGGATGGGCGTCTACCGCATCCGCGTGTCCACCGGCTCCTCCCTGTGCGCGGGCTCCAAAAACCAGGTGCAGCTGCAGCTGGTGGGCGAGCACGGGGAGGCGACCATCGGGACGCGCCTGAGGCCGGCGCGAGGCCAGGTGAGCCGCGGGGTCCGGGGGAGCCTCCGGCCCGGACGCGACGCCCAGTGCGCGCCCAGGACGTGCTCGCGCGCCCGGCCTCCTTGGAACCGACCCGCCGCTCGCGGGCCCGGCGTCGCGCGGAGCTCCGCCTTTTCTCGAACCGGCAGTTCTGTCGTCCTGGGCCCTAGTTCCGTGCTCCTGTGCCCTCTATTCTCCAAAGCTGCCGTTTCAAGCCTTCTCCACCGTTGCGAGGTGTCCGACCCGTAGGCTTTCTCGCCCGCACCAGGTGGGGAGGGGGGCGCCGGCGGAAAGAAGCGAGAGACGAGAGCACCGAAGTTCCGACCCGCTTCCCCGCCCCCATAGCATCCACCTGGCTCTCGCCCCAGCTCCGACCCCCTCGTTCTCACCGCCTGTCCGGCTCTCTCCAAGCCCCCCAGATGCAGCTGTCTGTCCGCGCCTCCCCCTCTCTCCGCCTCTAACCGGGAATCGCCGCCTTCCATTCTGTCTGCGGGACCCCGCGGGCTCCGCGCCCCGAGCTCCGTCCTCCCACCGCCCACCAGGGCCCCCTTGAACCTGGTCACCTCCACCCTCTCCACCGTCTCGCGGCTTCCGCGCGGCCCTTCCCAGCCCTTCTGGGGCCGGAGCGATTTCTCCCAGACATCCCCACCTTCAAACGGGCCCCGCGTGTTCTCAGGACCCACCCCAAGCCCCCGGCTTACCTTCGAGACTTCACGATGTGGTTGCGCGCCTGTCCGCACAGCTCTCCCCTGCGCCCCAGCTCCCCGACGCAGCTCAGCCTCCCTTGGCCCCGTCTTCCCGCGCCCCTGCCCCGCACGCCTCCCCGCCTTTCCCTCTCCCGCCGAGCGCTGCCTCCTGAAGGGGTCGCCAGCCGGCCAGTCCTGCGGGAGGCTTGCCCGGGCCGTGGGCCGTCCGCGCGCAGCCTGGGGGCGCGGCTGAGGGCGCCGCGGCCGCAGCCGGAGCTGCCTGCTCAGCCCCGCGTCTCCCCGCTCACCGGTGCGCTCCCTCCCCGCGCGGGGCTTGGCGCAGGCAGGGTCTACACCAAGGAAAAAGTCAAGGAAGGAGGGCACCTCCCCATGTTCCCTCCGCCGCCTCAGTCCGACGCACCTGCGCGGTGCGCGCCCCCTCCTTCTGCCTCCTTCCGCGCGCCTTTTCCAGAAGCTCGCGGAAGGGCGTCCAGCGGGAGCCGGGCTCAGCCCAAGGACCCGGTCCGGCGCGCCCCGCGGATGCTGAGCCCCTTCTGTCGCCTGCAGGAGACGGAATTCAAGGCGGACGTGCAGGAGTACCTGGGGCCGCTGCTGTTCGTGAAACTGCATAAACGGCACTTGTTTCAGGACGACGCCTGGTTCTGCAACTGGATCTGGGTGCAGGGCCCCGGACCCACTGGGGACGAGTTCAGGTTCCCATGCTACCGCTGGGTGGAGGGCAGTGACATCCTGAGCCTCCCCGAGGGCACCGGTGAGCGCGCCGCTGGGGGTGTGAGGAGGTCTGGTGGGGGGAGCGGAGCCAGGAGGCAGGGCTGGAACCTGGGGGGCGGAGGGGCGGGGTTTGGGAGGATGTGGAAGAGGCAGGTTGCTGGCGCTGCACCCCCAGCCGAGGGGCCTGGAGGCTGGAGGGAGGCGTGATGCTGCAGGGTCCAGGGCCAGCGGGAAGGGCCGGCTGAGGAGGCGCCCTTGGGGGGACCGGGGAGAGGCTCTCAGGAGAGGCCTCACTGCCCACGCCTTGCTCCCCACATCTAGGCCGGACCCTGGGAGACGACCCTCAAGGTCTGTTCAAGCAACACAGGGAGCAGGAGCTGAAAGATAGGAAGAGGCTATACCGGTCAGCCCTCCTCCCGCGCCCCGGACTCCTCCCGACCCCACCCGACCCTGCCAGGCGCTGCTGACCCTTCCCTAGTACCAACATCTGCTTTCACTTCTCTGCCACAGCTGGGGTAACTGGAAGGATGGGCTAATCCTGAATATTGCCGGGGCCACCATCCGTGACCTCCCCGTAGATGAGCGATTTCTGGAAGACAAGAAAATTGATTTTGAGGCTTCGCTGGCCAAGGGGTGAGAACAAGGGGGGCTGGGCACGAGGGACATGCTCTGGTGCAGGGGAGGGCGAGGGGCTTAGGACTGCATGGCACTGGGCCAGCCTAAGGTGGGTGCCTGTGATCCGCTGGATTCTGAGCATAATTCTCACACTCTTTGCTTCTACTTCCCTGAAGGCTGGCAGACCTAGCCATCAAAGACTCTTTAAATGTTCTGACCTCCTGGAAGGACCTGAATGACTTCAACCGGATTTTCTGGTGTGGCCAGAGCAAACTGGCTGGTCAGTCCCCCCCCCCCACCCAGTGCTTCTCCCAGAATCCTTGCCCCCAGGTCCCACCCAATCGAGGGAGCCAGGGCTGGGAGACCAGAGGCCTGGGTGCCTCGAGTAGGCTGGGGTCAAGTAGGGATGGTCTGGTGGGGGTGCTCCAATCTCATGGAGTCCTCTACAACGGCCATCCCCAGAGAAGGTGCGGGACTCCTGGCAGGAGGATGCCTTATTTGGGTACCAGTTTCTCAATGGCACTAACCCCATGTTGCTGAGGCGCTCCAAGCAGCTTCCGGCTCGCCTGGTGTTCCCTCCGGGTATGGAGGAGCTGAAGGTCCAGCTGGAGAAGGAGCTCCAGGTATGGACACAGGAGCCCTAAAGAGACCACACAGTGAGATGGGGGTGGGGTCCACTGTGGGCCCAGCTGGATGGCAAGAAAGGATTTGACAGGAGAAATCAGGGTGATCCTGAGAAATGCAAGTCCATGCCTTCCTCCCCGAGTGAGACCAGTGAAGAAGGGGGGGAAGGGGGGAAGAGTGTTGACAGAGGCAGAGTCGAAATGATAGCAGCCCTTGCCCTCCACCTCCCACCCCCACCCCATGCAGACAGGCACACTGTTCGAGGTGGACTTCTTGCTGCTGGACGGGATCAAGGCCAATGTCATCCTGTGCAGCCAGCAGCACCTGGCCGCCCCTCTGGTCATGCTGAAGCTGCAGCCTGATGGGAAACTCTTGCCCATGGTCATCCAGGTGAGAGGCCCCGGGAGTTCTGCTCCCCAGTGGCGGCGCTCCCCCTCAGCCCCTCACCCTGGTGCACTGAGTCCCCACTCAGTGCAGAGGCCTAAGGCGCCAGCAGGAAAGTTGGGGTCCAGCTGGAGAGACAGGCCGGGCGAATCTGAAGAAACTCCGGGAGGGGAGAAGTCCCTGAGGACAGAGCAGTCTGGGAGGGCCCTTTGGAGGCGGTGTGCGCCTTGGAAGAGGCTCAGGACTGAGATCTCCAGGCAGGAGGGCGGGCGGGCTGCGTGGGGAGGCTGAGGTCTGACCAGTGTGAGCCCGGGGTGTTGGGGGGTGGTGTGGGGGAGGGGGCCACACGGCGCAGGCTGTGGGGGGCGGCCCAGCTAAGGAACAGGAACACAGCAAGCTGGGGAAAGCTGCTGTGATGGACACCTGCGTTCAGGACGGGGCGACAAGGGGGATGCTCGATCCCGGGATTAGGGTGATGGGTTCAGCGACTGTCCAAGGCAGAGGTGATGGGCTCCGATGTGAGGAACAGCTGTGGGGTGCCGAGGAAAATTAATCTGGCCTGGGTTCAGGGGGGGAGGAAAAGGAGGAGCCGGGCAAGGCTCCTGCAGAAATGGGACAAAGAAGGAGGAAAATCAGGAGGCCAACTTTGAGGTAACGGGGCGGCGGGGGGGACATCCAGATCGTAACGCGTGGCTAGTGATAGCTGAGGACGTGGGCACAGCCAGCCGTGTGGAGGCCGTGTTGCAAGGGTGTGCGATGGAGGAAGCAGAGGGTCTGAATCTTGTCCACGCTGCGGGGGCCGAAGGGGAAGTGAGGTCGGAGGAGGCCGGGGGAGCAATTTCTGCAGAGGGCTGCTGGGCCGAGTGGGTAGGAGAGGCTGCTGGGGACTAGCAGAGCCAGGTGGGCAAAGCTCAGCGACTGGGAGGGAGCCCGCGGGGTTAGGCACGCAAGAGAGGGGATCTGTGGGCGCCTGGCACTCATCCCGCTCTCTGGTCCCCGCTTCAGCTCCAGCTGCCTCACGTGGGATCCTCCCCGCCGCCGCTTTTCCTGCCCACGGATCCCCCGATGGTCTGGCTCCTGGCCAAATGCTGGGTCCGCAGCGCTGACTTCCAGATGCATGAGCTGCAGTCTCATCTTCTGCGGGGACACTTGATAGCGGAGGTCATCACTGTGGCCACCATGAGGTGCCTTCCATCAATACACCCTGTCTTCAAGGTAGCCCCTTACTCCCTCCGCCCCTGCCCGCCCCTCTCCCTGCCCCACGGCGCGGTCCCGCATCTGGAGGCACCCTCCCGGGGGACTCTCAGGGCCCGGAGAGCCAGCCCAGAAAGGCAAGCGAGCCGGGAGTGGGAGGCTGGCCCGCTGTGCCTTCGGAACAGGGCCGTGTGTCCTCCCAAGGAGGCGAAAATGAGTCATCGGCGGGGTGAGGGGTGAGAAGTCTTACTCTAAAGCACAGATGTACGTACACTATATAAACGGCATACACAAATGGCTGAGGATTCCAACAAGGCAGGACCACACAAATAGCATAAAGTATTTTTTTCCAGCCAGTTTTGAAGAGTCCTAAACTAGTAACCCATAGGCCAGTTAGGGGGACTCAGGACAACCACAGTAGTCTGGCTCATCGCAGACGATCAGAACACAGTATCCACCCATTCACTTGTTTTCTTGGGGTTCTCCCATGGGGCAAGAGCCGTTCTAGATGCCGGTGGGAAGCAAGACAGGCAAGGTCCGGATCTTTGGGGATTTTCATTTCCATTAAGGGCTAAGAGGCAATAAAGACTCTCTTGGAGCGTATCAGCTGTGGTAAGTACAATGCAGAGAAGCAGGGCAGGGTGATGTGGGAGGGAGTTAAACTGGGTGGTCAGGAAAGGCTCCTTTGAGAATGAGACTACAAGGTGCCAGCCGTGAGATGGTCAAGGCCGGGATCAGCTAGTGCAAAGGTCCTGTGGCAGGGACAAGCGTGGCCTGTTTGAAGGACAGAAAGAAGGTGAGTGGAATGGACAAAGGGGAGAGGGTCAGAGATGAAGTTCCAGAGGCAGGCAAGTTAGACCGTGCATTCTTGGTTGGGGGGCCATTACGTCCCGCCCCCCAGGGGGTGAAAGTGCTTCTGGGGAGGCAAAAAAAGTACTATTTTTATGCATAAAGCGCATATAAACATACACTACATAACAGATACAGTATATTTGTAGCATTAAATTTTCCTGGGGAGAAATTGTATCTAAAAATGTATATCTTGTATAAATATATAAATACTATGTATGTATGACATCTAAAAAGGCTACTTAGAGGAGTGATAATGAAACAAAAGGATGAGAAACATTGAGCTCGACCTTGCACAGTCATATTCAAACAGAAAAGGAGGGTGATTTCTTTCAGTTATCATAGAGCAATAAGTCAGCAGCGTCCAGGGGCCACTGAGCTTCACGTCTGTGCTTTTCCCGGAGTGCCGGCGCCTTCCTGCTCTTCAGCCCTGTTTCCAGCAGGGACTAGCCAGGCTCTTTGAGGACTCTGCCCTTCCCCGCTCTTGTCCCTGCAGCTTATCATTCCCCACCTGCGCTACACCTTGGAAATTAACATCCGGGCCAGGACCGGGCTCATCTCTGACATGGGAGTTTTCGACCAGGTATGAAGAGAGCAGGGGCATCCTGGAGCCCAGCCTGCCCCCCCCCCCCCGCCCGGCTCTCTGGCCTCGGGGCAGGCTCATGTGCCTGACCCTGCCTGGTCCTTGCTCCTCAGGTGGTGAGCACAGGTGGCGGAGGCCACGTGGAGCTGCTCCAGCGAGCTGGAGCCTTTCTAACCTTTCGCTCCTTCTGTCCTCCTGATGACCTGGCCGACCGGGGTCTCCTGGGAGTCAAGTCTTCCTTCTATGCCCAAGATGCCCTGCGGCTGTGGGAAATCCTCGCTCGGTGAGGAGCCGGACGGCAGGGCTGGGGGAGGATGCTAGGACGGGAGGTCTGTGTCTTGGCTGGGGGGGCTGGGGCACCTGGCGCTTCGGCTCTGACCCTGGGGGGAGGGCAGCTATGTGCAGGGCATCGTGCATCTCCACTACAAGACGGACGAGGCTGTGAGAGACGATTTGGAGCTGCAGTCCTGGTGTAGAGAGATCACTGAAGTCGGGCTGCTCGGGGCCCAGGACAAAGGTTAGATCAGCCCCTGCCTGGGACCTCCCACATGAAAGAGTTCCCCTGGGAACCTCTCCAGAATCCTCTCTAACTTCCGTGCAATCTACCAGAAGCATTTCCAACCCTATGAAGATGCCCAGAGGACTTCCCAGATTCCTTCCCTATCAGCTAGAGACAGGGCCCCATCCTATGCCCTGAGAACCCCTCGAGGTCCCAGACACAGTGGGACCACTGGTTGCTCGTAAATGTTTAACAGCTGGAAGTAACAGTAAATGTTTCCAGCTCCCTGGAAAAACAAAACAAAGCAAAATACAACCAAACCCTGAATTGTAGGATTTGTCCACTTGCATGGTGTAAATATTCCCACTGTGGTTACCAATGTGATGTCAGCCAGCTCACTAAACACCTGAACAGTAACGTAATTGATTGGCTCTTGTGGGCCAGCACGAGCCACACCAGTGCCCCACGGGGTGGGACCCTCCGAGCAGATCCCCCCAACCCCATTACGACCCAGTGTGCGCTCAGCGCTGATGGTCAGTGCTCGGTGCCCCCCCTCACCCCTGTCATCTCCCGGCCCTGCCCTGTGTCTGCTCCTGGCCCCCCAGCGGCTAACTCCCCGGAACCCCTTGCAGGCTTCCCCAACTCCTTGCAGTCCCGGGACCAGCTGTGCCACTTCCTTACCATGTGCATTTTCACCTGTACCGGCCAGCACGCCTCCACCCACCTGGGCCAGGTACTCACCAGAGGGGGCAGCTGGGAATTTGCACCTGCAGTGGCGGCTGGGGCTGGGTGCAGGTGGGCTGAGGGGTTTCCATGCTTCGCAGGCACTGACCCTGCATATCTGCCCCTCCCTAGCTGGACTGGTACTCTTGGGTCCCTAATGCGCCCTGCACCATGCGGATGCCCCCGCCGACCACCAAGGACGCCACCCTGGAGACAGTGATGGCAACACTGCCCAACTTCCACCAGGCTTCCATGCAGATGTCCATCGTCTGGCAGCTGGGCCGCCGCCAGCCCGTGATGGTGCGGGTGGGGGCGCCCCGGGGGGCTCCCAGCACCCCGTGCTGAGGGTCCCAGGCCCTCAGCTGCCTTTCTCTCTCCGCCCAGGTGGCTCTGGGCCAACACCAGGAGGAGTATTTTTCAGGCCCTGGACCCAAGGCCGTGCTGAAGGAGTTCAGGAAGGAGCTGGCTGCCCTGGAGAAGGAAATCGAGACCCGGAATGCAAAGCTGGACATACCCTATGAGTACCTGCTGCCCAGCCTGGTGGAAAACAGCGTGGCCATCTGAGCGCCGTCTCCCACCTGAGCCACGCGCCATCCCTCGGTGCTTGCTGTCCTGCCTCCCCCCCACAGTCCCCACCCTGCCAAGAGTCCCCTTTCCATGGTCTGTGCCCACGGTGGATACATTTTATTCTAGATGTTCTACCCCCTGCCTCCCTCATCATTCGGGTCTCCCTGGAGGGGGGCAGATAATAGCCACGTTTATATAAACTGTTTCAAGAATAGGATAGGGGGTCCATACATGTTACTCCACACCCTTTATGAGCCGGATATGATTTTGAAACAAAATCGAGTTTAAATGGCAACAAAAAGGTATGTTAGACAATGAAAGAAAAGAAGTTAGAACAAACTATCCTAAAGCAAATAATGGCCAAAGAACGTAGCGCATCTTCCCTAAGTGGATGGGCTTTGTCACACGTCCTGAGGCTGGACCCAACACAGAGCAAACCATCCACATGGCAATGCTCAAGACTTTTGTCTCATGGCTGACTTAGCGATAAATGGAAGAAAACGGGGGTCCGTATCTATAACCCGTTTGCGGTTCCCCAGTTGGAAAGCTCCAAATGAAAATAATTAACCAGAGGGGCACCTTGGTGTCTGCATTTGGCTCAGGTCATGATCTCGGGGTCCTGGGATGGAACCCCACATTGGGCTCCCTGCTCAGCGGGGAACCTGCTTCTCCCTCTGCCTCCCCATCCTGCTCGTGTTCTCTCTTGCTCTCAAATAAATAAATGCATAAATAAAATCTTCTTATTTATTTATTTATTTATTTTTGAGTTGAGGACAAAATCTTTTATTAGTTTCTAATTTACAGGCCTCATCAGTGCCCCTGATAGTATTGTTAAGAGACCATTTTACCTCGCTTAGAACTAAATGAAAAAAAAATTTCAACTGCAGTCATTTCTCGCCTATGGCCACCAAGTTATAGGATACATTCACTTAGCATCGTTTGCCTTATAAAACACAAGGTGTCCTGTGTGCTTTTTTGCCCTATTTCAAAGCAGCTTGAAAAACTTCCCTTTCTTAGGCAAAAAAAGCCTATTCAGGGACCAAACAGGATCTTGACAGAACTCATGTTCAAATGGTCAAGATTCATAGTTGTTTTGTCAAATGCACCGGTGTTCTGAGAGATTTGCCAGCTATCTAAAGCCAAGAATTAGGGGGTTGTCACCCAAATACTGTTAATTTACCAATCACTGCATGCAATTTTTTAGTTATAAAATTACCCCCCCCAGAGTAATTTTTAAAGAGCTCTTCTCTTTTCATCCTGTTCATCAGTTCAACTTCAAATGGTCATCTTCCAATATTCCCTCTCATCAGGTACTTTTTGGTATGACACTTAGCAAAACCTCCAAACCATTTTCAAACTAAAAGCAAAGCTTACGGGCACTTGGGGGGCTCAGTCGGTGAAGCGTCTACCTTCAGCTCAGGTCATGATCCCAGGGTCCTGGGATTGAGCCCCGAATCGGGCTCTCTGCTCAGTGGGGAACCTGCTTCTCCCTCTACCCTTCCCCCCCGCTCATGATCTCTCTCTCTCTCTCTTGATCTCTCTATCTTAAATAAATAAATAAAATCTTTAAAAAATAAAATAAAATAAAATAAAATAAAAACAAAGCTTACCCTACACTCCAGTCCAAAATACATCCTTCTCTCTCATTAGGTATATGCCATTGCACCTTTTCAAACTTTGGGTTTAATCTCCAGTGCAGTAATGTTCCCTCTTCATCCAACCTTGCTCTTTAAAGATGAAGATTCCTGTGGAAGTGGATTTCTAGTTCTTAAGTAATTTCCAATAGATTTTCTTCTCCTACAATCTAGATACAATTAACTCTACCATTAAGTAAAATAACGTTATTGAATGCCTCACCTTTTAGGGTACTTCAAACTGTTTCTATA